GGGCGTGGGTGCCATTCTTTCCAGCGCTCACTCGCTGACAACAAGGTCCATCCGTGCGCCTTTTTTTCTCATCGTTTGTCGCCGTCGGAGCGTAACTATGATGTAGGTAACCGCGAGCTACTCGCCATTCGCTTAGCCCTAGGCGAGTGGCGACAGTGGCTGGAGGGGGCGACCATTCCTTTTGTCGTTTGGACTGACCATAGGAATCTTGAGTACATTCGTTCGCTAAACGACTTAATGCACGCCAGGCTCGTTGGGCTTTGTTTTTCGCTCGTTTCGAGTTTGTAATTTCCTATCGTCCGGGTTCGAAGAATACTAAGCCGGACGCTTTGTCTCGTCTCTTTGATTCACCAGAGGTTCCCATTGACCCTGAAGGGATTCTTCCTAAGGGGCGTGTCGTCGGGGCGACTGTCTGGGGAATTGAGAGGCAGGTAAAGCGAGCACTCTCTCACACTCCCACTCCGCGCGCCTGTCCGAGGGGTCTTCTTTTCGTTCCCGTTCCCACTCGTCTGGCCGTTCTTCAGTGGGCTCACTCTGCCAAATTAGCGGGTCACCCCGGCGTTCGGGTACGCTGGCTTCCATCCGTCAGCGCTTTTGGTGGCCCACTCGGGAACGTGACACACGCCGTTTCGTGGCTGCTTGTTCTGTTTGCGCACAGACTAAGTCCGGGAATTCCCCGCCTGCCGGTCTTCTCAGACCGCTTCCTATTCCTTCTCGACCGTGGTCGCACATCGCCTTAGATTTTGTCACTGGTCTGCCAGCATCGGCGGGTAAAACCGTTATTCTGACAGTTATCGATCGCTTCTCTAAGGCGGCTCATTTTATTCCTCTCGCTAAGCTTCCTTCCGCTAAGGAGACGGCACAAATAATCGTCGAGAATGTGTTTAGGATCCACGGTCTCCCTACAGACATCGTCTCGGACAGGGGTCCGCAGTTCACGTCTCAATTCTGGAGGGAGTTTTGTCGTTTGATTGGGGCTTCCGTCAGTCTCTCGTCCGGCTTCCACCCCAATCTAACGGTCAAGCCGAACGGGCCAATCAGACTGTTGGTCGCATCCTGCGAAGCCTTTCTTTTCGTAACCCTGCGTCTTGGTCAGAGCAGCTCCCCTGGGCAGAATACGCTCACAATTCGCTTCCCTCGTCAGCTACCGGTTTATCTCCTTTTCAGAGTAGCCTCGGGTACCAACCTCCTCTGTTCTCGTCTCAGCTCGCCGATTCCAATGTTCCCTCTGCTCAGGCTTTTGTCCAGCGTTGTGAGCGCACTTGGAGGAGAGTTAGGTCTGCTCTTTTGCCGTTATAGGGCTCAGACTGTGAGAGCCGCTAATAAACGTAGAACCAAGAGCCCCAGATATTGTCGCGGTCAAAGGGTCTGGCTGTCCACTCTTAACCTTCCCCTTAAGACAACTTCTCGTAAACTGACTCCGCGGTTCATTGGTCCGTTCCGTATTGCTCAGATCGTTAGTCCTGTCGCGGTACGACTTGTTCTCCCTCGTTACCTTCGTCGGGTCCACCCGGTCTTCCATGTCTCTTGTGTTAAACCCGTCATCCGCGCCCCATTCGTTCCCCCTCCCCCCCCATTCGGGTCGAAGGCGCTCCCATCTACAGGGTCCGCAAGATTCTGGACATGCGTCCGCGGGGTCGTGGGCATCAGTTTCTGGTAGATTGGGAGGGGTACGGACCGGAGGAGAGGAGTTGGGTTCCCTCCCGGGACTTGCTGGACCGTTCACTGATCGATGATTTCCTCCGTAGCCGCCGGGTCTCCTCCTCAGAAGCGCCAAGAGGCGCTCGTTGAGGGGGGGTACTGTCATGTCCTGTCGTGTTGTGTCTGGTTCTCTCTCTTTACTCTGTCTCCCTCTGCTGGTCATATTAGGTTACTTTCTCTTTCTTCGCTCTTCCAGCTGTTCCTCATCTCCTCTGACTACCTCGTTCTCCCTCTTTCCACCTGTTCCTTTCTCCCCTGATTAGCGCTCTATTTCTCTCCCTGCTACTGCTACGTTCTTTGTCAGATTCTCTTTTGAGCATCTAATGTTGGAAGCTAACCTCTGTCTCGATTGTTTCACCGTCGTCCTGTCCTGTCCTGTTGGTGTCCGTCTGGTTAGTGCTACCTGTTAATCCTCTGATATCTACCCTGTCCAGTTCTCCTGAGGCTACATCTGAACTGGTACCCACTCTCTCCACGTCTTCCTGGTGAGACCTGCAGTCTGTTGCCGTAACCCAGAGATTCCTCTCGACTGCCTAAAGACTTTTTGAAGTTCATCAGTGACTTGAGTTTCGTTGCGGCGCCCGCTCTGCGGGCAGTTTATTTCCTCATTGTTAATTAATAAGAAGATCAGTCTGCCTCACTGTGTCTATCCTGGGTTCACGTTTCATTAAAGACTCTGTTTCTGTTACCTCGCTGTTGGGTCCTCTTTACCTGCATAACAGATATGGTTTTGTCAAATCCTGTCTCCTCCTCCGCCTCCTCCTCGTCAGCTCTTCCGCCACACACACCCACGTTCAAACCTGGAGCGGGCGGGCACAGTCAGAGTAGCCTACACAACACATGGAGCAGACAGGAGCTGGATTCACGGTGAGGCGGCGGCGACAGGTTAAAAGTAAAACATGCTTTGCACGGGGCTCGGGAGAAAGAAGAGACGTGATATATGGACACATTTTGTTACAATGATAAACTAACTAATGATGGCTAACTTTCATAGCATTTAGTATCCAGGCTGGCTATGTTGCGTTAGCTTCTTAGCACGTAGCGACCGTAGCCACTTGTTGATAGAATTGTATGTGAAGTTAAATTTATGCTAACTTAGATATGTTATACTGGCCGGGCAACTATAGTTTCAGTTACATTTGATTAAAGCAGACAGACGCTTTAAAAAGATTAACGTTAGTTAAAAAGATTTCATACGTTCTAGCAATCTATGCCTTGTTTCACCTTAAATACTGTACCTTTATATACCATGTGAACTAGCTGGCAGGAAAGCACTTTTGTTGTATCAGTTGGAGTTTTTTTTTTTTTTTTCACAACATTGACCTCAAATCTATTTATTTTATTATTCTATGTGAACTAGCTTTAAACAGCCAGCACTTGTGTTAAGTTCATAATACACTTTATTTTATTTATTTGTTTCCTTTGTCAGGTGTATTTTATTTGTTTTAATGCAAGCATTTGTGTTTGTGTCTTTGAACCTTAACAATGTTCAAAATAAATATGCACATATTGTCAGAACATCTTCCATGTCTGCATGTGTTCCTTAAAATTGTGTTTTTTTATCAAAAAGATGAGAGAAAATGTTGAAATGTGAAATAATTTTAGGAAATGTTAAATATTATCTGCTGACAAAAAAGTAAAAGGTTAAAATGATGTCCTGACTAAAACTAGACTAAAATGTTGACAGTTTTTTTTTTTTGACTAAAACTAAACGAACAAAATTATGTTTTCTTGGACTAAAATAAAGACTAAAATGCTCGACTTATAGTCGACTAAAACTAGACTAAATAAAAATGGGATGATGTCGACTAAATGTGATAAAAACTAACAAGCGATGCTGAAACTGGACTAAAACTGAAACTAAATTTAAAAATGGCTGGTAAAATTAACACTAGTAGGGGTGTAAGAAAAAATCGATACACTTGAGTATCCTTAACTAATCTAACTTCTTCTATCATTGCCTTACTGATATCCTAGATCAATAAGCACACTACCTCCCCCTAGTGTAAGGTCTAAGCCTTACATACCAGAGGACAACTAATGTACAGGCCAGGACTGTTACAGCATCACAGAATGTATTCCAAGTGTTCAGGGGGTTTACGAAAGGGTTTGATCATAGACAGTAGTGGACAGAGCGATCTCATTGGAACTCCATTGAGACGATTGAAGCCCGTTTTTGGCGATTTTTTAGCACTTCCGTCCCTGATGCGCAGACTCAAACAGAGCTTGATGACATAGATGTGACCTGAGCAACCCGTCTGTCTTCTAGTGGCTGTGATCATGAGAAATCTGAATCATTCCCTTCAGAAATTTGCTGAAGCGGAGAATGTGAATAGGAGCTGTCCATGAGCGAGGAGCAGGAGATACTTTTGCTAGGTATTCTAATTAATTATTTTGACATTTTGCCTCCACGTTTCCCCGATTGCGCGCAAGCTTCTTCTCCTGTACATACGGTAATCTCTCTACTGTGCGACAGAGAGTCGCGTGGGTATGACGCGATCGTTAGCCTACTTTCACTAAAACTGCTTCTACGGGGCCATAACATAAGCTACAAGGTAATGGAACATTTTATACATTGTCGTGTTTCTTTAGAAATAAATAAAGGACAAATGGGGTCTTCAAACACCTCAGATGTAAAGTTATTCGCTGTCAAAGTGACGCCAAAATGAATGGGAGTCAATGGGAATGCTAACGCAAGTGAAGTTCTGCTACAGGTTCCGCGAGGCTTCAACTTGTCGATGGATTACCCCTTTGGGTTTAATACATTTTTAGGGTTTAATGTAGGGTTTTAAACAAAATCTATGTATTATTTATCAAAAATCCTGACCTTGGCCACAAGTTGTAAGAAATCAAAATAAATTAAAACACATCATGAAATACATCACCTATTCAATCCAAAAGGTATCCAAGTACTTTCTTCACTGAATCAAATATAGATGTAAACACATTTTTTTGTTACAACAATAACAAAAAAGTACAAGGATTGTATTTCATGGTGCTTGATTGCTCACAATGTGAGATTTTCTGGGCAAGTCGGAGTAAACTGCGTCGCTACTAAGAGTCTAATGAATGAATGCAGTTTAGCATAGAGGATAAGGATTTTCGTTAAATAATACATTAAAGTGTGGTTTCTTTTCCACCAAGCTCTATCGTAAACCATTGGACCATTCTGTGATACTTTTGCATCTTTCTGTGAAAGTTTGAGGTTGGTGCAGGAGGATAGGTGCACGAGGAGGGCTTTTTAAATCATATTTTTTGTGGTCTAAAGCATACTGCATTAGAACAACACCAAGGTGAGTAAATAATGACTTACTTTTATTTATTTATTTTTTACATGTATGCAGATTTTGGGAGTCCACACCGAGCCGGTGATCACTCTTCCTGAAAGATTGTTTCTAAATGTGTGAGTAAATGTTCACCATGTTCAACAGTATTTCAATTAATTTCACAGTTACCAGTTAAAATTAACACATGTTTTTTAAACAGAGAGGCTGCTGTTAAACACCACTTTGGCCAGCATTACTATACCATCACTCTTCCCTTGCCCTTGGGTGGAAAATCCACTAGGGATCTGAACTTTCCCACAACCCTCTCCACACCAAACCTGATTGTGCCTCATCTTGGTCTGGAGTTTGAATCTGCTAGCATTAACCTTCCAGAGGTCTTCATTCCTAAGAGTGTGTCGCTGTCTGTGCCAACTCTCGGATTGGTAGAGTTGTCCGGAAAACTAAACAGCAACTATTACATCTTAGATGCAGCTGTGTCTGCAGCCAGAGATCCTGCTGAAAGTTATTCTGCAAAGTTTGAAGTCACTGGCACAAGTCCTGTTGACCTCCTCTCCCTAAAGGTCGAAGGTAAACCTATATTTGAAGTACCACATGCACTTGTTTTGGTTGGTTGCTTATTGATTGATTTACTTCACAGGATCTGCTCTAGTTGAGACCACACCTGGCGATCCTCTCAAGGCGAACGTAAAGGCTGTGCTTCGCCACAAGATAATCGGTGCTACGATTGGTGTTGAGGGGGAATTGGAATTTGCTGAAAAACTCAGTGTGAAATCCAAAAGCAAGCTTGAAGTAACTAGCCATGTTGGAGTGCAAATTTCATTGGAGCACACTGGACAGTTTGGCGTTGATGCCGAGGAGATCTCTGGATATGGAAACCTGGAAGGATTCTTCAAGGCTGGTTCAGTCCTTGGTTCAGGAAACCTTTTGCAATCAGTCTCAGTCCTCCCATTCAGACAAGAGGCAAAGATGAATTCTTCACTGAAAGTAGATTCAAAACCTCTTCAGGCTCCCAAGTCATTTGCTGTATCCTTTGCCAATGGACACAACACAGCATATGACAACCTTGTAACATGGCTAAACATTGCTGAAATAACCTTCAAGGAATCCCAGCTTGATCTAAATTCTCATACGAAAGCACAGGTTCTTGGCCTGAAGATTCAAAACGTGGTTGAGACCAGAGCTGGTGTTGAAGCAGTTATCATTAAGATTGAGACCTCAACTTACAGCATTGAAGAACGTATCCATTCCCTGATCACAGGAGCACTGGACATCAGTGGTCTAGCTATTCACAGTGACGCCTCTGTTAAACTCATTGGACACCAAGGTGTCCACAAAGCCGTTCTGAACCTCAATAAAGATGGCCTGAGAACTAATGGCACAACCTCACTGAAAAGCCTCCTGAGTCTGCAGGAGCTTAAGCACACCTTTGAGATCACCTACAAAAACGAAACTGCCACTGCTCAGTGCAAAACCATTGGAGAAATTATGGGAAGTCTCATTGACCACAACACTGAGCTAGAGATTGCTGGACTTTCTGGGAAAATCAAAAATCATATACGTTTCAACTCCAGATCATTTAATTTTGACACCAACAGTAATGGTACATCTATTCCATTCAGTTTCAATTTTGATGCCAGTGTGAATGGTAAGGATAAAGCATACTTCCCTTATATACGTACAAGGCATGATTTTACCGCAAAAGTCTTTCTAAAAGCAGAACCACAATCCATAGCTCACTCTCATGAATGCAAAATCTCAACCAGCCTTGACCTAGACAACGGTGTCAACATTAAATCACAATTTGAAAGCATGTCTGACACTTTGCTTATCCCCTCTGAACAAAAGATTAAAGTGACAATTAAGGCTGAAGTGAACGACTATGCCATTAAAAAGGAAATGAGCGCTTACAACAGTCCAGCACGGCTTGGGCTGGAAGGGTCTGGAAATGTGCGCACCAATCTGTTCAACACTGCCAACAGTGCTTATCAGGACTTTGCAGTCTCTGGCTTCCTAAAGTATGACAAAAGCACCGATACACAATCAGTTAGCTTGCCTTTCATTGAAAGTTTTTCACGAGTCCCTGAAAACATCAGAATAACACTTGTGAGCATGGGCGAGACCCTGATGAAATACATCAACCGAGAGGGGATTGCTTCTAAAATTCAGAACATACCTCATCGTGTAAGTGACTGTGTGTCTAAATTGAACTTTGAGAGAAGAGCTCTGCAGCTGAAACATGCCTTGAAAACTCTGTACCACGAGAACGCATTAAAGCTGACAGGTCTGATCGGTGCTTTTGAGAAATTAATGAGTGACATGTTCAATGGTTTCAGTAAGGCATTGGATAGTTTGGAGGAATTGATTGTGATGGGTATGCAGATTGACAAAGTTGGTGAAATCCTACCAAAGCACATCAAGGTATTGATATTTTCCATCATTGAGGACGAAAAAAATATTCTTAGCTTGATCAACACCCAAGGTTACTCAAAGCTGAATGAAATCATCCATCCTGCCAATGCAGAGAACAAGCTTGACAGTCAGATTCCTGCAATTTCGACATCTCTTCTAGTGCCATCTTTTGGAAAAATGTATGGTGAATTCATAATCAAAACACCTCTCTACAACGCCAGAACCTCTGCAGAGTTCATGAACGCCTCAGAGAGATTCCCTTTTTTCACAGCTTGCATTAACTCTAAAGGAACCTCTGCAAACCTCAACGTTCTGAGTTATGATCTAAAATCCACAGCACAGATATCGATTCCCGAGACGAGTCCTGTAATAGTGTCTGAAACCTTTAAGTTAACACACACTGAATTGACTTTAGACCAACAGGCATTGTTGACTCTGAATGGATCTGCCTCTAACAATACTGTCTTTCTTGAAACTTCATACAAAAACCAGGTGAGCATCCCCTCGCACTCGCTGTTTGGTGAAGTTACCCTGATTCAGAAGGCTGTAGCTTGCCAGGGTGATGCTGCATTCACACTGACAGTTAAAAATGAAGGAACTGGCAGATTTGCCCTTCGAGACTTCTCTGAGGAAGGCACCCATAAGAGTGACTTGTATTTGAACATGGGCATTGGCGCCGCCAAGCTGTCTTTTAATTGCCACACTGATAGCGATGCTTTGCAGATCAAGATGAAGATAAAAGTGAATGCTGATGCTGTTGCTCTAAGCCACCTTGAATTCAATGCTAGTGTTGATACTGAGTCTCCATTAATCAAGAACAGTTTGGTGGTTGTTTCTGGGAAGGCTCGTTTGGGCGATATGATGGTGGAAATCAAGGCATCCCATGTCACATCGGTAGTCGGAGCTGTCAGCGGTGTCCTCTCTAATGCCGCCAATATCATGACTTGTCCTAGTGAGGTTGCTATTGACTTTCAGAACAGGGGTATTGCTAAGATCAACCTCTTCAAGTCTTTTTTAGCCAATGTTGATGTCCAGAAAGACTTCACTGTTACCTTCAACTCTGACATACAAGAAATCCGCAGTGTGTTAGTCGCCTTTTTTAACAATTACAACTACAGACATAACGTCACAGCCAGCAATAACAAAGCTGAGATGGGTATTTACGCTGTTGTGGATAGTTTGGCCAGCTTTGGGTACTTGAATGCTGCAGAAATGTTTGTGCCAGCCATTTTCAAGATTCCAGCAACTAGAGAGCTGAACTTGAATGATAATACTGGCCGATGGTATGACTTTACCACAAATGACCAGCCTGTTAATCTAAGTGCCAAACTTGTCTACCAGAAGAGCTGGTTTGCTCCTGTTGTTGATTTGGGTCTCATTGTCCCTTCATTGGGTAACCTAGTCTCTGAGGTGTCTTTCAAATCCTCTATTCTTAACCTCAATGCTAATGCAGGCATTTACCCGAAGGATTACTGGATGCGTGTGAGTGCCACAACTGCCTCCGTGTTTCAGGGATTGAACGCCAAGCTTAATGGAACCACTGGCCTGTCCACAGAAAGTGGATTGAGACTGGCCTCTTGTTTGTCTTTGGAGAATGCCCACATTGGCGGTTATCATGAGAGTACCTTGACTCTGGAAGACATCTATGAGGCTGTGTTGTCTGTGGACACATTTGCTAAGATTAATCTGACAAGCTTCACTATTGATGCCACTCATCATCTTTCTGCGGACCCCAAGGTCCATCCAAAGGCAAAATCAAACTTAAAGATCAAGTACACCTTTGATCGTCCAGATTCGGAGGCTGCAGGACATGGAGATGCTGAGAATACATTAAAGCTGGATGCAACTCTTTCCTTCATCTCCATTGAGTCCGAAACCCAAGTAACCACAAATTCTACATTCACAGATTCTATTGAACTTAAGGGAGAAATGGACAATAAAGCTAACATCTATGTGAGCGGTGATGGTCTGAAATCCAATCTGAAGACTACTGGAAATGGGTACATTGATTTTAAATATTCCAAGTTTGGGTTTGATATTAGTGACCAGCTGACCTTGGAAGGAGATCTTGACCGTATGTATTCTTTGCTAGAATTTGATTCAAACTATACATATTTCCATCACAACTCTATGGACATTGCAATAAACCACACTGCTCTTGGTAAAGTTGAACTTGTTCCCCTAAGCACCCTCTTGGCTGCTGTAGACATATTCTTGACTCAGCCAAGTGATAGTGATTTTGATGTTAGACATACAGAAAGAAGTATTCGTTTTTCGGAGTTAATTAGAAAAATAGAGATTTTCTCCCGTTGGTTCAATTCGAGTACAGAAATATCTGCAGAGTATAGAGGTGTACCCGTCTCAAAGGGTGTGTGGTGGTTCTCTTCTAATCTCACATCTCCCTCTACACTTCTGGAGTATCAGGGTGAAATAATTTTAACTCTAACTGATTGCACGGTTAACATTAATTTCTGTTGAATACACACCGGAGGAAATATTTCATTAAGGGCTTGATTTCAACGTATCATTGGGCTTTATTTACTGTATGCTTGCTCACCTTAGGGCTCTTAATCACTGACATGAACAGATCCAGAATAACTTTAAAAGTCGCTCTCAGGCACAATGATGTAAACATGGTTGTCTAGTGATTGAAACCCTGAAATATTCTTTGTTTCATTTAAACACTACAATAAATGGGTAATTTAACTATAATTATAGACTCGACTCTTCCTCTTGTTCTACCTCATTGACAATTTTACATAAAACTGTACATTTTGTGATGTTCATTGTTTATTTAATTGATGTCCATATATTTAATGTAAAAAAAAAAAGAATCAAATGACTTTTGGCAAAAGTTAGTTATTAATATTCCTAGTTATATTCCAAGTTAAACGTTTTTTTCTTTTGTAGTTTTTATATGATAATATGAAACTTCTGCATTTAAAGAACATGATGCAAATAGCCTACGTGTGAACCGAAAACAAAAATATTTCCATAATTAGATGATATAGCAACAAATATTAAACCAGTGCTCTTTAAATTATCTTACTCAATCACAATTAATTTTCCTTTACTGAACGGCCATGGAAAAAGAGCGCCCTGTATATGTCCAACGTTTTTTTTTTTTTTTTTTTTTTTTTTGCAATGTCACATAAAGGCCATAGACAAGTCGGTGCATTTCGACGATATGGGAAAATTAAAGCCCAGGTTTATTATTTCTAGTTTTATGATATTCGTTTTGTTCATATTACGTTTTTATCATTAGTTTTAATTAATTTGACAGACAGCATTCCCTGTTGTGGAGCAAGCTTTTCACACACTCTCACGCCACACACATCAATTTTGTCATGCACAGAAAAGGACACGGAGACCGATGTCAGCTCAGATTCTGTTAATTTCATTACGCAATTCAAACAATACAGTATTGGTGCTTTACACGACAGATCCCTAACGCACGTGAACCGATCATCTCTACTAGCTAATTGTAAAAGAACACGAACACTGTTGAAAGATACAGTATGTTACAACTTACCAAAATGTATTCCTCATGCATAATATCGACCAATAATTTTTTTAACTCTTCCCTGAACTGAAATGTAGTAGTGGGCTGTATTTTCCACATGACTGACATCAGGTTCAAGTACACACAAGCCGCCGACTTACTCTCTCTATTGCAGTTTGGCTGGTGGTAATGTTGCCTGCCCGCATACCGCCTCCCATGGCCGAAACTGGTATTACGACACCTGCCGGGCTAGTAATTTAGCATGCTAATTCAGGTTAATATCTCGGCAGCACTATAACTTGTCATTTTTTTAATGACATCATCAACCTTATTTCTTCTCATTCTTTTGATGCGTGTAACTCATTTTTGGGATATTTTAACCTCAAATTTTACAGATGGCACCTTGCCAAGTTCACACATGATTTTAAGCCCGATTTAAGCCCAATTTGCAAATCGCTGAGCTCGCCGACAGGTCAGAGTGTCACGTGCAAATCGCGGGGGATTAGCGGGCGATGAACGCTCGTCAATCTGTTAGTTTGAAAGAGCCAACAACGAAGCGAAGACGCTCGCAGACACGTCGCCGTCGCGCGACTCAACCTCCGTGATGTCATGAGCCAATCATAGCGAGGCATGGGTTGGTAACGGGTTAAATCTTATGTTTTCTTTTTTTGATTTTTTTTTCTCAGAGCAAATCATCGCGCAAACAGTGTGCAGCACTAGTTTCTGTCTGACGTCCATATTCGCGTGTTGTGTTCTTCTCTTCTTCGCTGGGTATTGGCGCACGTGCTGTTTCGCGTCATTTCTGGTTAGTTTATTGCGTGATTTTTTGTGACAAGACGTGGTTTGTAGACAAGATAGAATCGTTGGGTGACAGAGTTGTTGTCAACTCGTTATTTACTTGATTATTTTGAATTTTCAGGATTTAGACCATAGCCTACCATAGAACTGAAACAGCTCTGGGTCACAAATGATTTGCTCTTATCATCCGATCGTAGTTGTATCTCTATGTAGTGCGTTACCTCCTGTTGTTGATCAATCACGTTGTGTTGTATGGTGTGAACAGCTAACAACTTGAACACTCCTGATTTCACTGAGAGCAAGTCATGTAGTGTGAACTGCACTGTCCAGCCCGACGTTTTAAAATCATGTAGTGTGAACAAGGCTTGAGCCACGAGACGCGCTACAATACGGGCAAAAGAGCAAATAAAAAATACGATAAAATGAAAAAAATGGTAAATAAGATTTGGATTGCACTTTATGTGCTCTCATCGGAGTGTCTGGTTCATGTAAACAGTGAGAGATCTTGTGACAGGCGCGACGCTATAGGTGATGAGACGCGTGCTCCAAACGAACAAAAAGAGCGAATAAAATTTAAAATAAGATGACAAAATACCCCTGGACGCTGCCCTGGATACTAGCGGAGACAATTCACATTACACCGAGATTAATAGATATCATGGTAATGTTAGAGATGTAATTTTTTTTAATTTTGCTGAATTTAATTTATAATTGTAATTGGGTTGTATTTAATGATGCTATATTTAAATAAAATTGGCTTTGCCATCATGTAAAACCCAGCCATCAATTTAGTATTCCGTCATAGTCACTAAAACAAACTATTCACTCTGTCTCAGTGTATTACAGTTGTTTTACTAAAACTTAATATCAATGCCAATGGCGAGATAATTTAGTTTTGCAGTGGACAAATCACCTTACTTTGCACGGGGGTAAAAATAAGTCTCATAAGACACTTGAGTAAACGCTCGTGTGTTTTGTATCTTAATCAACCTTTTCCACACACATTCAGCAAATGACGTTTTGTGAAGGCTGACGTCATTAAAGAAGGAAGTAGAGGGATGTAGTCCAAACGGGCCGTTCGATGTAGGCTACTTCTGTTAAATAAAATATCTCTCTTGGCATTGAACTTTGAGCTTTATAATTTTACAGATCTATTTACTCTAACAACCACATTACACACTAACTAAAGTTTGAAACATATGGGATCACGAAGAGCGGGACCTTTAATGCTATGTCACACATGTTCCCGCCCCCACAGTCACAGCACAAAAATAAAACTAAAACTTAATTTTATAAAAATACTTAAATATCTCTGTAGCAAATGCAACATATAATAATATACATAAAATGTATTAAGGGGGCCGAAGGCCAATTTAGCTCAAAGGGAAATGATTCATTGATTTGCAATGAATCTATGGAACCGAATCACTGAACCGAGCAAATGACTCGCTTAGAATTCATTTGAACGGGCCGTAATTATAACCAAATCTATAGTGAAACACTATGTCTTCTTAGCAAGGTAACTTTAAATCGAACAGTACAAGACATTAAATGTGCAAACACGACACAAGAAGATTTATCTTTTCAAATATATGGACAAGACTTTATTAGCTATTCTAAGCACAAACTAAGGTCTAAACATAATCACGCACACGCACACACACATTCATACAGTCGCGAAAGGGAAAGAGTGAGTTGGAAAGAGTGAGAGAAAGTTTCAACTTTCTATATGCACGTAAGACATAACCTGAAAGGACCACCAAGCATTAATTTGAACCTTCGTTTCTTAGAGAGGTTATTCAATTAACATTAAAGCACCAGTTCAGTTAGAGCCTGGAGTACTTGCGCTTTGTAGTGGCTGAGGGAATTCCCTTTGTCTGCGTCGCGTCGAAGGGGGGGTTTCCCGGCCGGGTCCGTTGCGTGGTTTGTTGTCTTTGAAGTGCAGGGATGGAAGTTTCGCCGCTGGTCACGTGTGATTAGCAAGCGAATGAGAGTCTTTTCCAGTTCGAAGCGCGTTGCAAAGTTAACTTTGAAACGAAACTTTTACGAAAAAGGAAATAAAGGAAAGAAATGAAAGCAAGGCGAGTCGGATGGCTTGACTGAGCTGAATTGTAACCCTGATCTTGATGGGTTATTCGTCTGCTGGTCGAATTTGGTCTAGTCGATGTAGAAGCATGTGGACATGTTCTTTGTTTCAGAGATAAGCACGAACAGAACACTCTCTTGCTGGTTTTAGAGAGAGGCACGGACTTAACAGTTACAGAACTGAACGAACTGAACTGAACATAAACAAAAAGAAAGAACATAACAAAAACAACAAACATGAGGTCTTGTTCCTTTGTTCGGATCTTTAACTTAAACTCTAGTCCAACCTCCAAGAAACTTCAGGCCAATGGGTAATGGCATGATCTCAGGAGGTGGATCTACTTCTTTACTTATCATAATTTATGCATGGTCTGTGAGCTGGTCTCCAGCACTTAGCAGAGGCAAAAGACCATAGTTTAAACCTTATGATTATTATAATCATAAAACAAAACCTTTTACGCAGATTTCAATCAAGCCATCTTTTGAATTAGGAGAATACGGTTCGTTTAAGAGCAAACGAGGCATTCACACTTCTAATGGTTGTATAACAATTACAAGAGTTAATAGTTAACAACAATTACATGGTTATTATGTGATCTAAGCATAATAACACATGAAGTGTAGGAACAACAACAATTATGATTGGTTATAGGTCCAAGAATTGTTCTGTGGTGAGTTTATATGATTTTATGTGTGAGATCTCCGATCTCAACAGTGAGGTCGTGGTAGGTTCAAGGAGTAGGGGGTAGAGGAAGGTGTTCTGTGTAACATCTCTGTCAGGAGATCAAAGGGGTCTTTGGTTGTGAGCCTCTCGTTCCACCATTTTGGAGTTGACCTGTCTCAGTAAAAACATTAACATATTGACACGTTTCTTCCTGTGGCATTCTGTTGCTATCTGCAGGACCATAAAAGTCTTCGGAGGGGGGTTTATTGTCCCCCAAAGCAAACTCTTGGTGCCGTTCTGTGACGTTCTGTTGTTTGTGTTATCCACTTCTAAATTGTTCTAGGTTTAGACCAATTTACCTTCCAAATTTTGATTCGAATGATGCAGGGAGTTCTCTGGCTAACATTCGTTCTAAGGTGACTTGCAAACGTCAGGCGTGGTGCGTCAATCCTTATATTGTAACCGGGACCCTTATGGGGTAAAAGGGATTTTACCTAATAAGAGAAGAAGGGAAGGAAGAGGTAAAACAAAACAAAGCAGTTGAGTGACTCCAGTATGGGTACTGTTGTGCAGTGACAGGTGTCAACATGTGATGAGAGGTGTTATATTTGTTGGGTGTATCGCTATATGTTTCCGGTGGAAAGGGTAGCTAATACAATGAAAAACAT